GAGCTTCACTTCAAAATTTGTTAGCAGTAGATAGATCTAGTGAATGTGCGACGCGTGAGGGCGTAATCACAAAAATAAGTAGGTGTAAAAATGAGCTAGCATGAAACTTTCTTTCCGAAAAGGAGACAAGTATCTCCAAGAACCACCTTATACAGCTCAGATCACAATAATAATTTGTTCTCGTTATGTTTTATTCTGGGACGCACTTTACATGAACTGCAGTTTGGTCAACTAGCTCCCAAAGTCTCAGCCCCTCTACTATCCACATGACCCAATAATCATTTCGTCTACTAATTTCCACTTGGTCTAGTGACCATTTAGGCTAAGGCCTAAAATAAAAACTTGTTGTATTGCCCTTTAGGTGCCAAAACATGGGTCGGTCGGTCGGTCGGAAAAGTTTTTTTTTTTTAACTTTTTTTTGTCGCCGTCTTTGGGCCGATATTTTTTAGTTTTGGAAATTAAAAAAAATAAAATGCCGACCGTAGATTTTCAGATTTTTGGGTCGCCGGGTCGCAAATGGCAATACAACAAGTTTTTATTTTAGGCCTAATAGTCAATAATTGGCCTAATATCTATCTCCAATTAGTCCACTATACACATTTGGTCTATTGTTCATTTAGTCTAATAACCAGTTAGTCTAATTCTCAGTTCTCTAGTATATCCACTCCGTCTACCATCATTTTGCTGATTATTATTATTTTAATTTTAATTATTATTTTATTTAGTCTCCGGACATGCCATTCCAGTGCAGTTCGTTCAGGTGAAGAAACCGTTTTCTTTTGAAGGATAAAATAATTTTTTCAACGAGCTAATAAAAGGCCTATTGTATGCCTATATTCAATGTTCCACCAAGGATTTAATAATTCCTTGGTTCCACAATATGTGATAACGGAATCAAAATTGGCTTTAGGGCTTTGTAATGTCAGAAATAGAGTAAAAAGACCCCGCCATTTCACATTTGCTCAGTGACAAAGACAATGCCAATTTAATATCATGTCTCCCACAGTGGGGTATTGGAGAAGTTTACAATCAGTTTGAATTTGTCAATTTAATACTGTACAAAGTACAAGAAATCGAATTAATGTTAATCAATAAAAATATCATTAACGACGATAGTGATACAAATTATGATAATATTTAAATGATAATGATAATAATAATAACCAAAAAATTCTGATAATAACTTAATGACAAAATTCATGGAAGCAATTGAAAAAGAAAGTTACTGGCACCAGTAAATGTTATTTGAATTAATGAATTATTGAAAATATTCTTGATATCAATTTAATAATTTGATATAAGACAATAAAGAGAAACATGAAGATAAAATGATATGTAATTAATGAAAACGAAACATTATACCTTTTTAGCGCGCAGTTGACACCGGGAGTTGATATTGAGTGATTACAAGTCCTTTCTCTCGACTAGGGGGTATATAAAAAGTGTAATCATATTTGATAATGACCATACCACCCAATCCTGAAGGAAACCAGAAAAGATGAATAGGTGAGAGTTTATTTGAAGTGAGATAAGTAACAGGTGATTAGAGAGTTTTGGGACATACAATAGAGGGACTGTTCTCGCTATATAGTCGAGTACGCATAAGGCAGATATCTTCCAATGCTGCATCACTCATCTTAGCTCCAAACGCCTACTCAGAACAGTAACTTCTTGCTCAGAATATGCACATTTTTACATTTCCATGTGAAAGTAAGAATTTTCCTCACAATTTTTCATTAAAGAAACAACTTCTATTTAAAAAATGAATACTTGTAGAAAGTCCCCAAAGTTATGAAAAACAAGATGGCTCTGATTTCCCTTGAAAATTAATCCACGAGTTATGATGATCCACGATCGAGTTATGATGATGACGATTCACAGCATTTGTATGGCGCGAGCTCCTCCAAAAAAGAGTTCTATACTTGGTGATTTGCACCACATTTAATACGAAAAACTATATTATCATATTTACTTAAGATATACATTGTTTTTCCTCTTACAATTTAAACCTCGATATCTTTTCTTATAAACTTTCGGGGACTCCTTGTTTACATTCTAAATAAAACCCTCGCACACTGCAACTATTATTAAAGGTAATACAAAGTTTTGGTATGGGGTCATGAATTTGGTTCAAATTAACATATTGGAAGCACTGTGATCCTGCAATATTCAGTAACCGTTGTCGCTGTTGAAATCGAGTCTAAAGTGACGAAATTGTAAATAATAAGCTGTTCATGTTGTATAGCTCCCTCTCAAGGTCAAGATATCAGTTTAGCTATAAAATAATGTTTCTTGACTAGAATCGACCGATTGGCTATTCACATTTGGAAATTATATACCACAATTACATATTCTGAGATTTTCATGGTCGCAGCTACCATTGTTTGGCCGTAGGCGCTATTTGAAATTTATCAAAATTTACCGGGAGCACCGGTAAATTTTTTAGTTCAAATTTTCTCGAAAGCAGAAGTGTTTTAGGGGCTAATTTTTCTGGTGCTTATAATACATCCACAGGGGCATCCAAATATATACAAATTGTAAAGAATCACTATCCAGCCAATTTTCAAAATTTACCAAAACTTTGTATTACCTCTAGGCCACTTAATTATTGTGAAATAGAACAGATGTGAACGAAAAATCCTTCTTCTTTCAAAAAGTGTTAGGTATTTTTAAAAAGTAGGACTACAACAAAATCTTCGAAGAAGTATACATATTTCTACCAGTACCACCAAAATAGGCATATTGAACGCAGTAAATTATAGATTCATGGGTATGAAACATGATTATTTCGGCATATAAATATTATTTTACCTAAGTGAAACTTTTAGTTTCTCCAGCATTGTCATTTGATTTGCACCGGGCACTGTCCAACTTTCCACTTCCATTTACACTTAAGAAAGATAAATGGCATACCTTTAAAGAATACCGTCGGATTTGTAGTATTGTACGACAAAAATCAATATAGATTGATGATTAAAGTCTCTTTTTTATACAAACAATTAGACTAGAACATGATTTTATACGACAAAAAGTCATCACTTTGCTCAAAATTTCGGAATAATGTTCAATCAACCCTATCCACTTTTTCATTTGGATTGTCAAAGTGCACTGGTTTATAGTTATACTCGACTAACATATAAATGGATTGTCGTCAACATCGTCTCTATATATCGGCATGATGATCGGGTTCAAGTTGGTCGTCGAGTTAAGTCGAATATAATGCAGAGGGAAAGAGAAAAGAAAGAGAAAGAGAGAGAGAGAGAGAGAGACTGAGAGAGAGACGAAACTGAGATCTGATGAGACTGATGGTGATGATGATGATGAAAGACGAGAAAAAAGGTATATTATGTAGGCCTACGATGCCTGAATTGAAAAGGAATCCCTTCATTGTTTTAATTAACATAAATATGAATTTGAATCCCTATAGCTTTAAGCCATTCGTTAGGCGACATGGGAGGTGAGCACTGATGAGATAATGTCTGCCCTAAATACAGTGATTAAACACGTTTGTTTATATTGGAAGAAAACCTGCAAAGTTTCCCCATGCAGTTTGTTGACAATTTCTAGTCTATTTGGCTAAACTTAAGTTATTTATATTATTATATTATTTTATACAAATAATAAGATACAATTTGATAATACTGTATGTATATTGATGTTCATTCATGTTTCGTTCAAAAAGAATTATTGGGAGATGTTGTATTTGTAGTAATTTCATGACATTTCTATCCGAGTAAGAATGAATTTGACAATAAAGAGTCTGCAAGTGAGACTAATATAGCTCCCACCCTTCCTCCACTTCTGACGACATGATTTATGTTTATACATGCATGGCCATTTAAATTTCTCCTGCACCTCGCCAAAAAATGAGGATCAGTGCTAGTGTCGATAGATACAATGACCACAAGTAGCCTGAAATTAAGTGCTAACAGCAATGAATGCTAATATACCTGAAGGGAGTGTTTCTTTCTTCTTCTCAACATTTTGTTCAGGAACAAGTTACAACACGATAATTTAGCAGTTGAGACCTACCATATGGACCCCTTTTTATTGGGGGGGGGGGGGGGCGGAGTGGGAAATCTTTTTCAAGGAATATAGATTTAGATCGCGACGGTCAACAGGAACAAAGTATTGTCGACGAGTTAATATTTGTATTTTGTATGGACAAGTATAACAAAGAGAAAGGCAAAGAGAGAGAGAGGGGGGAGAGAGGGTAATACAACCCAAAAAACTTTAAAAGCTTTATTGATTTGACTCCCCCCCCCCCCACCCCCCCCCCCCCCCCCTCTTCACCGTCGGCATAAAAATAAAACAAAACCTACGACTAGGGATATTATTTTTGTCATCAGAATGCTTTGGTATATACGCAATCACGCGTGTCAAAATTATACTGTAGCACAACGGCACTTATGAACAAGCGCATCGGAATGTGACCGTCTGCTCACCGCAAAACCAAAATAGTTGTGATCCTTCCCAGTGCTGCCGAACACGATTTCATGTTTTCGCGATTCTTGTCTTTATAATGCTACTTTTGTCACTATCACCGTGATAATTATATAGAAAATATAAAGTGGAAAATATAACATATGTATCTCTTTTGGAGAAAAGTTTGTCAGTTTTAGAGGAAAATAGGGAGAAAAGTTGACCTCTATTTGCCCCGATTTGTCTGAAGTTGGTTGTTGGAGTTGACGCAAGTGTCACTAGACTCTCATTGTGTGTCTATGGTTGGAGAGAAACATGAGTCACTCACACATCACACAATAGCAATCTGTGTATGCGCGCTGGAGTCAGTGCCCCCTACAAGCATTTCACACAGAAGCTGGAGTTGAGATGGTGTTTACCAACTAATCTGGTTCCAAGAACTATTTTCCATCGAGAAGTTCGACGAAATACATGAGTAGTGCAGGTTGTCTTCAAACCAAGTTGTATTTCTTTGTCTGTGTCTCTTTATAATCGTTGGTTGTTTCTCTGAGCTCCTCCTTGCCGCTTGTGGCACTCTGTTAACTCAATTTCTCGCCAATAAACAGTAGTAATAGATTAATTGCTCAAGAAACTTGGTTGTCTGCGGAAAACAAGAGCTTTGCCATGGAAACTGTACAGGACATTGAGAAGTCATGCGACCAGGATCATGTGGATACGAATGAAAAGACAGCAGGAAGAATAGATTTGTGTCAAACACATAACTTGAGGATGAAGGCTCGAATCGGGTAAGTATTATTACATTGAGTATACATGGTGTACATAAAAGATAGAGGTTTTGGGGGTAGTCCTCGACAAATCATTTTTTTTTGGACTACCCCTTCCACATTTGATAATTTTTTTTTCTTCGTTTTAAAACATACATTGCTCCAACTGCATGTAGTCGTTTTATATAATGATGTATATGTTCTATTATTGTATTGTATGTCATTTTATTTTATGAATCTCCCTATAAAGTATATGTTTTGCATTTGTGGAGAAATAAATTGAAATTGAATTGAAATTGAAATTGATATATACTATAAGATCCACCAATAATGAACATGACCATCCATCCTGACCATTGTTCACAAACCTAGAATTATATTACGTTGTGATCCAAGTATCATCCACTTGTCATTGTAATTGGTGTATAGGTCTATACTTATTAATTAATACTACATGAATATTGGTTTACATGGTTGAACTCGATGCTCTTCAGCTTCACTAGCTATCATATTGCGAGAGGTCCCAGACTCCCAGGTTCGATCCTTGCATGTTTAAGAAGGCATTCTGCCCAATAAATAACATTAATACTAGCTAGTATTATACCATAATAATTGTATTTATCATTTGCTAGCTTAGTTAAGTTAGTTGAAGTTATTTACAACTACTCATCTTCACTGGTTTAGTTTATTTAAGTAGAACACAATATATGCTATAGCCTAGAGCCTTTATTTATTAGCCATTCAAATAAATTTTGTTTTCAAACCTCATCGACCAACCCGGTAGAGAATAGTTACCCAAAACATAGACCTACTTCTATGCCCAGAATGATAACATAATCACTTCAGAAATTCGTCTTACACCCCAATTGCGATAGAAGTTACTGGTCCATTACCAAATACCAGTTCTCCAGCTCGCATGTTTGAAAACGAAGTAGTCCGTGGTCTAAATGTGCAACCCATAAGACCATCAGAGTATCTTTGATAACTTGGACCATGTCAAGTGAGAGCGGTGTCAAACGAACTGCTTTTCTGCGATAAGAGATAAAAGCCAGGCCAAGGAATGATGGATCTTCTGAAAATGACCTGTACCACGTCAGTCTCCCTTCAAACTCAGTCAAGGATAATAGTCTCACTGGGATAGCTGTAAGCATTCCTTCTTGACACGTTGGGGGAGAATAGAACATTTCACATGTCATCATTTTTTAGCACGTCTTATTTCTGATTTAAAATATGATAAAGTTATTACTTGTTCTAATAATGTATTTTAATAGGCCTCTTTAGTATTTACCCTTGTTGTGTGAGCGAGTAAAATAAACAATCGACTTCTTTAGAGCATAGGTACGATCTTCTTCCTGTTTACAATCATGTCCGTGTATAGTCTGTCTTTGAATTAAAAGATAGAATCCGCTTTTATCTAGGTCAGGCGGCAAAGTGGAACATCTTAAGAACCTTTTTGTTTTGTTTGGTGTTATATTTATTTATTTTTTTGTCGTTAATTTTGCAAGCTGTAAAATATCACAATATACACGAATGAAGATTTTGTTCAAGCAGTGCGTGAATCCGCATGGATTTTGAAGACAATGGTTTGGGAGGTGGGTGGGGCCGGGCTAGGGGCACCATGACCCCTCGAGTCTCAAGATATCTTGCATTAGAACTTACAGTTCGCGGTCAGAATCGGAGAATTTGAAAATAATACTGTCTGGCCCCTCATGTTCGGGCATTTTAAATGTCTCATATTAGTTATTGAGTGTGTTGTAATGAGTAATGACAAAATGACATTTTTTATCATTATTGTCTTTTATTGAATTTTATATATTTCTCTCTATCTCTCTCTAACTTGCAGGAGAAGATATCCGACACCAATGGCAGAGAAAGTGCGCCACAAGCGACAAACAATGAAGAGTATGGCTCGACCTCTCAAACAATGGTTGTATCATCACAAAGACTACCCATACCCGAATAGAAAAGAGAAGCTACATCTATCAATGGAATCTACCATGACCCTTGTTCAGGTATTACTCTCTGAACTTGCTCATGTTATAGTAAAGTCAAAAGGCACAGGGGCATATTGCTGGAGGGAACGGGAGAGGGTGGGGGGGGGGGGGGGGGGGGTGGTGGAGTGAGACTTCGGGGGTTCCAAAACTTCTAAAGCCTTATCAACTGTCGGCAAATCGTATGTTTTCTTTAGGAACATTGAATTTTATACGCCCAACTTTCTCTTGAGTCTTGTATCAAAACTTATCTTAACACACATTCATTCAAACCTCTTTTGATGATTAACTTACTCTGTGAAAAAAACAAATTATGTATATTTTATTTGTATTGTATTTTGTAGGTTTATTTGTTAATTTTTTGGGGGGTGATTGTTCGTCGTATTTCGTTTGTTATAGCGCTTACAAACTTCGATGGAAAGCACTTTATAAGCACCGTTTGTATTATTATTATTATTGTTATTATTTTTATCGGCTCATCAGGATATCTGAAGACTCCTCATATTTTGCATATCGAAATATTTTCGGCGACCTTCACCATCCCTCCCCCTTCTTAAATATAGTATAGCGAGTTAGCGACGCCCCTGACAACAATAATATTTTCGATGTTGCAAGATATCTAAATTAGTTGAGAAGTAAATCTAAACATAATGGCCAGAGGTACCACATATTCTTTTATAACTTCAGTAGAAATGCTCAGATGATGCATGAATATCCTCTTTCTTTCTGTAGGTGTCCAACTGGTTCGCTAACGCCCGCAGACGTCTGAAGAACACTGTACATGACCCGGCGATGTCGTGGGAGAAGAGAATCCATAAGTACAACAAACACGTGACTGGTAACGCTGAGAGGCTAAGCATTAGCTCTGTGGAATCATCAGGAGGAGATGACTTTGATGATGAGGAGGAATTCGATGGATTCGAGTCTGGTAAGGAGATGTTTTTTTTTTCTTCATTTCATTTTCATTTTTTCATTTCCAACAAAATACAATACATAATAACGAATACAATGTAAAATGTATACAAAACATAGTTACATTTGTAATAAACAAATCTTAATAGTAATTTATACGAGGAAGACAAAAATTGAATTTTTAAATTTAACTGCATTTATATTTTGAGGAAATGGAGAGGTCCACTGAAAAGCAGAGCTTGTAAATTGTGGACCCCTCAGATAACAATGAGTGTGAAAAGAATCTGGAATACATAATCAATCATGTTCTAAGCTACCCATCTATCATTTGGAGCACACTGGGGATTTTCAGTATAGGTCTACCATTTGAAGAGAGTTTACTGACGTCCTCAGATTGGAGTGGCAATTCTTTGTAAAATGTTACGATGCTTCAAAGAGGATTGCTTCATGCCTCTTTCAATATCCACTGTGGCAATCGAAGATGAAACTTACAGTAGCACAGGCAAGACCGACACCAAAGTCAGCAAACAAAAGGCCTCAAAAAAAATCCCATAATGGCCAAGATTTGATCGGTTTGAAGTCAGTTTTGAGTGGGTTCGGCGGTGTGACGGGGGTATCATTTTTGTTCAATGTTCTTTTGAAATGAAATTCTAGCCGACTGGCATGGTATGTCTGGACATCTATCTTGGTATCACTACTGTAAGGTTAGAAGGTTGTTATCTTGGGAGGCGTTAGGGGATTGTATCAATCACCTTCTTTCTAGGTGCCTTGTTATGGTTTCAAATTATCTAAACGTTTGTTTTACATCTGCCATGTCTGTCATGTACGTTTATTTTATTTTCAACGATACATTTTTCAATTGACAGATGATAGCAGCACTGTAAACTATGCCCAGGACGTCACGACGTCTACTAACGAACTGCAGGGCGCCAACCACAATGTCCATAACGCTACACATCCAGGAATTTGTTCACCACATCCACTATCATCAGTACCTCACATCGCATCTCACAGCGACCACCAAGGACAATCCTTACCAACTCACAAGTACAAACATAGCATCATGCAACGCTACCTCAATGATACTTATAACCATGCTCAGCAGCGGCAGGCTGAGGCATCCACAGTCGCTGCCTCCATGGATAGCTCACACACGCTCTTGCCGGAAGAGAACTCTTTGAACCTGCCGAATTACACGGACCGCACCGCTGGGAGACTTACTGGTCAAGAATGGTCTAAGTTTCGAGCATCAGGGTCAGTTAACTCTCACGAGTATGAACGCATGTCAACGTCACCAGAAACTACGATGTCTTCGAGCATTGGAAGCTATCGCCAAAGACACTGCTCTGAAGGTTAGACCTCTTTCTTCAGGACCTCCCTTAGTCTGGCTTCTCTTAAAGGGGCAGGATATACGAATTGTAAATTGCTTCACTATTAATTCACGGTCCTCCCACAAAGGAATGATAAGTAACACAGTCATACAAAACGTTAATATCAATCACTACTTAGGTATTAACGAAATTCTGGTGAAAAATATTTGTCCTCAATGTTGTGGGACCATCTAATGCACTAATGTGATTATGCTATTATTTTACCAAAGAATGTTAAATCGTAGCGCAAACTAGATATGAAACATTTGACCTCGAAGTTGTATGATTTCGCCCCTCAAAAGTTTTCAGTACTCTCTAAATTTGAAAGTCTTATTTTTAAATCTTAAAGTCTTACTTTTAAATCTAACAGAGACTGATATTAGTGACGAACCCTTTGGGATTTAAAATAAGTCTAAGCTAAGACTTGAAATTTTAAGTCCCTGAAAAGGTTTAAAATTTAAGTCAATTGGATTTATATTTCAAGTCTTTTAATATTTATTTTAAACCTTTCTTGGATTCATTTCAAAAATAAATCTAAGCTAAGACTTAAAATTTTAAGTCCCTGAAAGATTTAAAGTTTAAGTCAATTGTATTTATATTTCAAGTCTTATAGATTTACTGGTCTAGCTAAGCCATTAGAACCATTTGGTAAAACTTCCAACCAATTGAACGGCAACAACACTTCAATACTGGTACGTCTGTATTATCAATGTAAAGGCATCGGTAATAAGTAGACTTATACATAATTTAATTAATCGATTTTTTTTTCATATACTTGTATTTTATTGAAATTATTTTAGTTCATAGTTAATGTTTCCCTTATTCATGTTTAATTAAATGGAATTCATACGAAGTAGCGAAATGTCCTAATAACTTGTAATTTATATTTGTAGTATTTTCGAAATGAATTGCATATACCTAAATCATCAGTAATTAAGAAATATGCTGTTAATTCAGAAAAATTGTTAAAAAAACATAGATCTGCACGCACCCCATATTCAATATGCAAATTAATTGGTGTCAGCTGGTTCAACTGGAAATATGCCAACAGTCAGTCATCAACAGGTGCAACTGGAAATATGCACATCTTATTGGCGAGAAGTTTAAGTCTTTCCAAGATTTATATCTAGAAGCTGGTTTCGATAAAACTTTTAGTCGAATTCCCAATTTATTAAGTCTTAAAGACTTGAAATATTTTAAGTCTCAAAATGGATTTAAAATTTAAGTCCTAGAAAGTAAGAGAGTATAATGCAATATCTTCTCTTTTCAGATTACTCCTTATCTTCATCCTCCAATGATTGGACCTCTTTCCTCAAAGACACAAAGAGTGCAGATTTTAAGAAGTAAGATATTCTCCATGTTCTGTCCTTGTGTGTTATTAGCGCGCTTTCGCAAACACGACGTAGGCAAACACGACGGTAATTCGAACAATCTGGGCATGCGCGAACCAGAATTTTCTCCGTCCTGTTGATTTTCACGACCGTACGCGGCCATGATAGCGTTCGTTCCCTAAACACGACGGAAGAGCTGTATCCCGTAATTCCCCCGTCGTCTTTGCTTCCGTCGTGTGTGCGAAAGCGCTCTATTGTGTTGTACAGGAGGCGTTATTTACTGAAGCGGGCTGACAGCGAGTCGGATGCGTCACAAGATGGTGATAATGTACTAAAAGTGAATCCAAAAGGACCAGTGCAAACATTGCTTTAAAGTAACTGGCATAAGGGCAAATTTCCCCTCACGAGATTGATAAGCTCGGGGGTATGATGCAATCAAAATTATATCCCTCAATGCAACGAGCATAAGTTATTTTGCTAGCGTTTCGAAAACTATCTACTCATAATCATTAAAACCTATCAGTGTGGATCTTAGCTTGATTATGTAAACCGTTTTATATTGAACACTTCCTAATTGTTTTTCGTTAAAATTCGTCGGCGTTATTTTGAATCGACGAATTCGTACACTATACATGACTGTATTTGACGGAACCGTCGGTTCAAAATGACGCCGACGAATAATATTTGAACACATTCTTGTCTCATCCTATGTTCCCTAGCCTCCTTCACAACGATACACAGTGTAGTTATCAGTTATCTGCTAATTATTGTTGGAGTCGAAACTGCACCCCTTAATTTTACAATCGGAGACCCTACCGACTGGGCCATCTCACTTTCTCAATCACGACTGTTCTTCGTTATCATTTCTCTTTCATTTTTGTTGATTTTGATTTTGATTTGATTTGTTTCACCTAGCGAGGAGGATGAGGAGACTTACTGGCAGGAGATCGTAGCAGCGGTCGCTCTAACCAACATGGCGCGCTCTCGTCAACAAGGTAAATAGCCGAGACGGGTCAAGAACAGAACTCAAGAATCAGATGGTCTCGAAGAATCACAGGTGGTCATTTGGAGTATAGTTAAGATGGATGAATGCTATACTTCCAAAACAAGGAACAGTCCTGTCCTATGAAGTAGAAAGAACCATAGACAGTCGTTTGGAAGATTCCAAAATCGTGGACCTGCAGTGTAATTTACTTTCCGCTAAATTTTAGTCATCGGGACGCTGCAAGGGAAGTTTGTGACAGGAGTTAAATGATTGTCTTTGCAGGATTAGAGCTTGAATTACCTCCATCTCAGGCTCTTCTAGGGAATATAAGTGATCTGTCTTTCGAACTACATGTTGTTTAATGTGGAACATGTGTCATTATTTTTATATGACACACACAAAAAACAAAACACGGATCCGGAGTTGTTATCTTATTGCGGACGCTGCAAGGGAAGTTTATGACAGAAATATATTACTAATGATTTTGTTTACCCGATTAGGGCATTAAATACAATTTGTCAATGTAACATGAAAACAGAAACAAGTGAGCTATCATCACTATACGAAATTGTGTGACGGTGTGATTCATCTATGAAGATGCCTAAAACGGTATCAACAAAAAATATATGGTTTTACTTGGACATCGATTAAAGTTCCATGGTAGATATTGCTGAATTAGCTATGGACTTCTACCATTATGGGAAAATCATTGAAAGAGACGGCGATATATGTTATCTGTTTTTCAAAGGATATTATTATGAGTACAGGGAAGCGTAAGGGAAATCATCGTTCGGAAAGGACCTCGAACAGTTGTCTTGCTGCCACTAGGGTTATAAATACGGACTTGTGATTGGACAGGTGTCTGGTGTGACATAAAGGTGAAATTAATAAATTCCGGCTAGAATTTCCCGCCTCTTTTATTTGTTTTAAAAGTTATTGTGTCAAATAAAAGAGCGTTAATATTATGTGTCACACTTTGATAATAAATCGTCTGTGTTCATAAATACACCTTTCCATCTGTTTGCACGTAATATACAAAGAATCTCATTTTGCGGGCTTGGACCTGATGTCATAAAAGCGTCATGTAGATCCGTAACAATGCCGCACATTTTCATGAACTCAGTATCAAAGTATATGCAAAAAGTCTTGCAGGAAGACATTTAAAGACAAGTTTTCTCATCACACAGCATGGCGTGAAATTGGGCGACTACGCACTATAATGTTGCCAATGCTTTTTTTTCTACCCATGCACCAACAAAAGTTTTAGGGCTACTTTTCCGGGGGATAAGTATTCGGTTTTGCTGAAGACATATTCTGAAATACCTCCCTCTAATGTCCATGTCTAAAGATCACAGCACTGTTTGATCAATTTGCAAAGGAAGACATAAACTACTGTACATACACATGTATATATTTTAAATTGTCGACCTTGGGAAGACAGCTGTAATCAATGTGCTATTTTTAGATGGCCAGTAGTGCTGCAAACATAGCTTGGAAACATACCACTTAGAATAGAGTAGGTTTAAGAAATGGATGCCGGGATACCAAATATTACGAAAAAATCTCCTTATGTCATCAGATTCATCTTTGTTATTGGTTGTTTTCAAATGTCTTTGTGTTTTTATTTCCTTTATAATATTCTTAAAGATTACTTGCCAAAGGTTTTATTTCCATTTCATGGACTTTGTTGATGTACATAATGTAACACTTTTAAAGTTTTGTTTTACCTTGTTTCTTACATTTCGATTTTTACTTCAATACTTTCTTTTGTAGTGTAAATTGATTTTTTTTTCAGTAGACATGTTTTCTGGGTTGCATATGACATTGCAGATATAAAGTTACTACGATAAAAAAAAAAAAACCAGAAAAAACTTGTTGCCATTCATTCTGGCTTTAGCACAATGTCATAATGTGATATATACATTGCTCAGGTGAACATAAGTGGTGCTTTCCTACTGCATGTGGCATATCTTACTTTCCAGAGATCAAGCGTTTTAACGTCCTTTCTATCGTTTATACAATCTGTCAAGCTTTCTCTCATGTTGTGGCTTATAAAGATGAAGTTGAGTTCTGGTCCCGCGGTTATATTGTGACACTGTGTCACTGTCTATACGTCAAGCGATTGGGAAAGGCTGATTATGTAGCCCGTAAGAGATTTTTGAATCATCAAACTGATTTTTTTTTTTTTTTAAACGAGTCAGTTGTGATGAAGGTCACATGACGTTACACAGAAATGTGCATAGTGTGTATTGGGTTTTTACAGACGTGTATCAATCAGATACGATTATTTAGGTCTGGGGACCGACCTTTAAACGTCACCATCCGAAAGACGTCACTCAGTTGTGAACCTGCGTCCTTGGCTGAATCAGTTTGTAACTGCTGGATTACAGGCGCACCCCACAAATATAGTTCAAGTTTGGTCCAAATATTTCAGTTATATCTTTCATCTTTTAAATATGAGGGCATTAGAAAAACAATTTCTTTCTGGAGATATTTCCAATATGATACTCTTCCACGCGGTAACATAAATAGAATTAAAAAGCTCACAAATTACTTTCTCCTTTACCAGAACCCAATGTAATTCTCTTATATATGAGCATGAATATCGTTAGTTTAAACGTTTGACATTTAAAAAAAGTTTCTTTGCGTTAATTTAGTGTTCTTTTTCAAACCTACTTTTCATTTTTGTATACGACTACCACATGGTAGATATATATAAATCTATATATATTATTATCGAGAATCACTGTGTCCGCGTTAGATATTTATAATGTCTTGTTACTCTTGTATTATAAAGGCATTGTTTTTTTTCTACATTTGTGACTGTCGATTGATTCTTGAACTAGTTGTCCGAAATGATTAGGCAAATACATGGACAAAGCATGGGATGTGAGAAGAACATGAGAAAGGGAGATTATCATTATTAATGGTGTTATGAATGATATATTATGGAGAGTGATAAAACGAAAAGAGAGTGGGAAAATTAAAGGGATAGTTGAGTTTTGTTGCAGAGGGCGCTACACAAATATTTGTTGTGAGATAATGAAAAAAACTGAGTTTCAAATTTGAAAGCACCACAAATATTCGACACTTATTTAACCAGCTGTTCAAAAAACAGGATGGCGCCTTATACGTTTTATTCCAGCCAATGCCAACGTTGGCTTTTTGTTGGCTTTTTCGTGTTGGTTACAATACGCACAACCAGCCGGTTCGTGTCACCGTAATTTTTTTAAGTGGAGCTGAATTGGTATGATCGTATTTAATCTAAATTTCACACATATTGCGGTCTAAAATTACCTTCATAATTACCTTCATATTAAGTTTAGGTCCTATTAGGGCACTAGAAAATATTAGAAATGTCATAAATTAGAATAAGAGCAAAATCCATGCACTTTGAAAGCATTTGTGGTTTTAAACAAGAACTCAACTATCCCTTTAAAGTATAGTCGTGGAGAGAGACAGAGAGAGAGAGAGAGAGAGAGAGAAAGAGAGAGAGAGCGGATGAGAAAGAGAATGAGAGAGAGAGAAGGGAAATAAGAAGTAAGAGAGGGAGTGAGAGCCAGATAGAAAAGGGGGAGGGAGGAGGGATAGAAGAAGAGAGAGAGAGAGAGAAAGAGAGTGACAGACAAAGAAAAGGGAATGCGTGAAGAGGGGCTTTGAATGAAACGGAACGGTATTTTAAACATGAAAACAAAATACAACTCCGATAATTTTCATGATATTTCTGTATATTTATTAACGAATAGACAGGATCACATGAAACTTACCACGAGCCATAACAAAATAATTGCTCATCTGTTTGTATAATTATAAATCATACATTGTCTCCCTTTGTCGTCGTGCTCTTCTCATTACATCAGAAAACATAATAGGATAACAATTATATAGCAACAATTAATTATCAAGGTGATATTCAAGTGGCACGAAGTCAATGTGAATAAAAAAATCAGACACTAATATAGGCCTACATTATCTCATATTAATACATATACATATACATTTATCATTACATTATACTTTGGGCAAGATCTTTCAAAATGTTTTAAAAGAGTAAAAAAATGAGTAAAAACAATTCAGCAATAAGTTACGAATAAGAAAATAATGAAATCTAAAAATGCAACCTTTACAGAACCCAAGACTCACGCATGATGTCAGAGGGTGATCATTTAATAATAATAATAATAATAATAATAATAATAGCCTAATAGTCCACTCCAAATTTTATTAAACCGAAACGGAAATTCTTTTTGCCCAATTGATCGTGAGCCCGGCAGCCACTGAGCAGCGCCAGATCGACGTTGCTCTATCCAATATTGTTGAACGCCAAACAGGGTAGCAACAACTCCCATCTTTTAACGTCTTTTGGTATGACGCGGCCGGGGTTCGAACCCACGACCTCCCGGTTGTGAGGCGGACGCTCTACTGACTGAGCCAACACTCCGGAGTTTCATGTGATCTGCATGCAGTCATTATTTGGCTTCATTTAAGAATGGTATGAGTTTTTTCGTAAAAGTATATAATAATAATACCAATAGAAATAATAGTAATGATAATAATAATATTAATGACAGTACTGATAATAATATTAATAACAATAACAACAATGATCATAATGATAATATCAATGATAATAATTATTAAAAATATTAAAAACAATAATAATAATAATATATCAATTTATAAAAATTATATAGCGCATTTACTTTATAAACATATTCTACTGCGTTTGACACAATTAAATTACCCCGGCTGTACCTGAGCCGCCATGATCATGAACAATTGACCAAAAAAAAAAACATCTAAGAGAATTTCTTCCTTGAATTAAGCTGCATGTGTTTACTGAAATCAGAAACGTGAGGGAATCACATTGATCAGTGATAGATAAACATATATATAACCGACGGAGGATACGAAAACTATATGCAGTTTCGAGTTTAGTGTATTCATCATAAATTTACAACACAGTAGTTGCGAGCATCTCTCTATTTTTTGTGGTGTAGGAAAATAATATGTTTTGCTATCCATGAATGTTATCCATCATTTTGCTCTGGCGACAATGATTCCAGGTTTATTGCGTCACAGATTTAGGGCCTAGGTAACACTGTTTATTGGGTCCATCGTTGAAGCAAAGAATTCGACTAAGAAACTAAAAGTGGTTGAGAAATATCCGTTAGAACACAATCTCAATCTTATACTATACTTCAAGTGTCTGCAATCGCCCCATAACAGATTGTAGAAAAGGAAGAAAATATATTATGTTTCTAACCGTCATTGTGAAATTAAATTCATACATCATCGTGATCTTTTCCTTCTACTCTATATTCATTTTTTTTTAAATCCATGTTAAAACTTTAAACAAAAAGTTGGTCAAATATTTCAATCATCTGTTATCTTGCAACAATACGTTAAAACCACTCTGAATGACACATTTATGCAGGTAAACATCATGTATTGCAATGGCCCCTTGATTGTCATCTACCAATTTTCCTTTCACCAACCATACCACCATTAACATCATTTTACGATTAATACACTAAAAGATATAGAGGAACAAATTAAAATTTGGAATAAGTCGCTACATGAATTAACCATGTGAAAGCAATTTATACTCTGATTATTTCAAAACAATGTTTGTAGAGCCTTTTTTGCATTAACTTTTTGTATGTTTTATTTATCACTCATACGTGGAGCGCGGCAAAGTTCGCTGTAGTCGTTGACGCAGCCCTGCGTTAATGATGCGTCATGATCACTCATATACGTTGGGCATCAAATTCGCGTATTCAATTCAATTTAATTCATTTTATTCAATTCCATTTTCAATAAAAACAATACGAAGATATATACAATAAAAAGCATTTGCAATATGAAAATGAAAATAGGGAACTTTAAAAGAGGCCAAATGGCCTTGTGGTGGCATAGTTCCCCGAACAGTATTTAAAAGATTTACTTATAAATTTACAAACAAACCTAAAAAAAGAAACATTCATGACAAAACATGACAGGGACATCGTTCATGCACTCTAAGAAAAAAGGGTGCAAAAAAGGGTGCAAAATAAGAGTTTGCACCCTTTACATAAAAATGAACCCTATTGAAGGAAAAGGGGTTCAAAAAAGGGTGCAATATAAGATTTTGCACCCTTCCCACAAAAATGAACCCTATCGACCAAAAAAGGGTGCAAAATAAAAGTTTGCATATTGCATGCATATTCATGATTATTTACCACGTGTTCACATAAAAATACATTTATCATGATTTGTTAAGCAAATTATGACGGTGACAATGCACATCAATAAATGTTTTGTGATTTGTATTTTCCTTCGGCAATCATTAACCAATAGATTATTTTGTCTGATCATGTTAGTACATTCACGTTTTAGCAAAATGATTACTAACCAAGAAACATCATGCATGTTTAATATGTATTTGTGTACGAGCAAATTTCATGAGTATTCCTCGATGATGGGTGCAGGATTGCACCTATTAAAGGGTGCAGGATTGAACCTCTAAAGGTGCTGATTTTGCATCCGTTTGCATCCCTATAGGAGCAGGATTGAACCATTAAGGGTACTATCTCCTAAAAGGTGCAATCTGGCACCCTCCTTAAAGGGTGCAGAATTTAACCCCTAAAGGTGCTGCTATTGTTGCATCGGTTTGCACCCCTAAAGGTGCAGGATTGAACCATAAAAGGTACTAACATGTCCCCTAAAAGGTTCAATCTTGCACCCTTTTAAAGGGTGCAGGATTGCACCTTTAAAA